CATTCATCTGTCTCATCCAGGAAAAAAATGCTTTATTTAATTGAAAAAAAAATGAACTTATGCAGTTGTTTGACAGTTCATCTTGTACAAACCCTTTAACACCTGTTGCATTTCCACGTGTTGTGGCATGACCAGACTGTGTATGGCTAGGGAAAGATTGGATCACAATTAATGCTCAGGCGCTCAGAAACACTTACCGTATTTTTCGCTCTACAAGACGCGCCTGACCATAAGACGCACCTAGTTTTTAGAGGAGGAAAACAAGAAAAAAAAATATTCAGAATCAAATGGGCACATAATCACAGGTACATTCCTCATCACTTCCCCATGGGCTGCACATCTGACAGACTTACTGCACACACATGTTCGCTCTATAAGATGCACAGACATTTCCCCTTTTGAGGGGGAAAAAGTGCGTCTAATAGAGCAAAAAATACGGTATTTGTGTTTTTTCAGTCTCTTGATCTCTGCCTCCCTCTTTATTAAATTTCCCCTCCCCCTGGCTAGGTAATCCATTTTATTAACACAATGGTAGTTCAACATTTTGAGAAGTGGTACTTCTTTGCAGTTTCCTATAACACCAGAATTAGTCTATGAACCAAGACCTCCTTACTTCAGTCTGTAGGCTGCTCAGACTGGAGATTTTCAGACCAACATCTACCATTCCCCATGACCTAAACTGCTATCTTACAATTATGGACTAGTGGTGCCAGCTCTCCTCTGCCCCCAAGGACCAAAATGAACAACTCACTTCAAAGTCCTATCAGTTTTAAAAAATGGGACAAAGCTTTTACGACTTTGCTTTAACATTCTCTATCTCCCCCTCAGCCCTAAGACAAATAGTAAAAAGGCTGCTGATGTAGTGGAGGGGCACGGATTACAGGATATGGATTCTGCCGTGAAGGTTCCTGGAATATGTGACAGAACCAGCTGCAGGGCTGAGAGGTAAAGAGGAAGCCACCACAGCAAGTTGATATGCAAGCTTGCCCATTACTGGTTGGATCCAGGATCTGCCTTCCTTGGATGGAAAGGCCCTGCTCATAAAAGGCGCCCGTCTTTGGGGGATCCCACCCCCACATCACACTCACCTATTCAGCAAAGTCCATTAACTTCTATGCAGCATTTTCAAGCAGCCACTGTAGGAAGGAGGGGCACTGAACTTACCTCTCTGCCAGCTCAGTCACGCACACCAAAACCTAGTTTCAGCCCTCTATTGCTAAGTAAAACCAGGTTCTCAGATTTTACATGCAAGACTGCATATCAACTGCACCTACATGCCTTGTCTGGCATTTTTAAACTTTTTCTATTTTTGCATCTATGCATGTGACAAGTGCTGAAAAGAATTTTGTATACTGTTTTAGTCTAAATAGCAGCTTTGAGTTCTTCAGTGCTACAGTACGGTGCTACAGTATTGCCCTATGAAGCATCTTGTTTTATTGCTTGAAAAGGGATCCTTCTCACTATTCAACCTATTGGCCACTTCATACTATTCAACCTACAGGGGTACCTTGGCCCCACTTATGGAATGCGCTCCCCAGAGAGGTCTGCCTGGTGCTGTCGTTGTTTGTTTTTCGGCACCAGGCCAAGACTTTTTTATATAAGCGTTATTTTAATTAATTGCTGATTTATTTATTGGTGTTATGTTAATGTTTCCAGTTTTTTATGTAATTGTATTGATATTTATTTGTTGGAAGCCGCCCCGAGGCTTATGCGAATGGGGAGGCATACAAGAATTCAAAATAAATAAATAAATCCATTCCAGGACTCCAGTCATGACCCAAATTGGCCATGAGCAAAGTCAAATTTCCCCATAAGGATCAATGTAAATAAGGTTAATCCATTCTGCAACTATTTTTTTAACTCACAATTGGAAACAAAGTGACAAAGAACAACAAAGATCGCGGCCATCTCCCCCCACCCCCAGCGATGGAGCGGTGGGGTGGGGGGAGACGGGCATGATCGCGGGCATGCTGGGGGTGAGGCAGGCACAGAGGGAGGTGGGCGTGGGGGGAGGTGGGCATGGGCATGCGGGGGAAAGGCGGGTGTGTGTGGGGGCAGGCGTTGGCATGGGCACGCTCAGGCAGGGAACATGGGCACAATCGCGGCCATCTCCCCCCCAGCATGATCCAGCATGACCGTGATCACGCCAGTGCAGGGAAGGCAGGCACACTTGTGATTGTCACCCAGCGCAGAGTTCGTGACCTGCAGCAAAATGTTTATGAAATTTCTGTTCGCAACCTGATTTGGTCCTGAACTGAGGCATTCCTGAGCCGACATACCACTGTTTATTAAGCAATCCACTCATGTAAATTCATTCAAAAAATTATTGTAGCAAGCCAGTGAGGCACAAGGGCTTCATACGGCAAAACAAGCCCAGGACAATGTGGACATCTTTGATGGTCTCAGCCACTGCATCTTCCCCTTTTGAATATGGGCCTAAAAGACCAAGCAGAAATGGCTGTGCATGGAATGTTAAGTTGTAAACAAGTACAATTTCTGACATAACACAACTGCATCACTGGTCATGAGGCATTGTTTAAGGCATCATTGTCCAACCAGCATGAAATAAGTCGTCTTAAAACCAGACGGTTTATTGACTTCTACTTTAAGGTGTCACATTGTAACATGAACTGGCTTAGGATTTTGCCTGGTAAGGAAGAATTAACAGACAAGAAGGGCAAATTGTTACAATTGGTGGGTGTTCAGTCAGTGGGATGCTGGTGCGCAAGGTCACATGAAGGCTGGAAAGGATCTTGGTATGCAGAAGGGAGAGATACTGTAAATTACACCCCAAAACAGAACTTACACTCAAGGGCAGGAGATTGCAGCAATAAGGGCAATTGGCTTTCATCTGAGATGAATCAGGGAACATCACCCCATGGACCACCCTGATTCAGGTTGCGGGGGGTGGAAATAAACCTAGGGGCCTGAAGGGGCTCAGGGTACCTCTTTGAGGAGAGGTTCCATTTTTGTTGCCAGACTCTGTGCAGAACCTGGTCCTACAGTTGATATACTCTGTGTGTGTATAGCTAAGGCTAGACTGTTATCTTGTGCCCAAGGGGGGCAACAAAGCCTGGGACTTGGGATGCTTTGGTTGACCTCAAATTGTATCGTTGCTCTCCAAACGTTAGCTCTCCAAATATTGCTCTCTTTCTTTCCCTTCCCTCCCCCTTTTGTTCCAAGTGTATTTGTTTTAGCTATTTAGTACCCCCACTTTTAGTGTTTTAAAAAATCCACATTTTTCCTTAACACTTGGGTTGTCAAGTGCTGAGTATCTGGTCCAGGGTTCTGGGACTGGGGAGTTTCTGGGTGGAACTTTTAGCCCAGTTGGCTGTGGGAGTGGGGAATCCTGGGCAGCTGTCCGCTACACACGACTGCCTTAATCATAGCAGGTAAACACAATTAGTCCTCTGAAATCTTAACAAGGATATCGACTTCAATTCATGGTACCTTTCAGTCATTTTTGTCCAACACATTTTAAGCTCCTGATTGAAATGTATGTTGCTCATTTGCTCCACCATCCCAGTCCTTAGTCAATTGTTCTCCTTGCCCACCAGTTCTTGGTCAGGTGACCATAGCCTTGTAAGGACCGCAGGCAGAAATGGCACTGTATTGATGCAATGTGAATTAAAACACAGGGATTACATAGACATTGGCCTTTGCCTACATCATTAAGTTTGTGTAGCATCAGTGTTCTTTCCTGCAGTAATCAACTTCCTGAGAGTTCTTGAATAGCAGACTGGGAAGTACACAATCCAGTGTGCTCAAGTCTGGAAGGCAGCTCTTCAGCTATGTGGTGGGGAGAGCAGAAGATATCTGAAGGTACAGAAAGATCTAAGGACTGGTAGAACCTCGGGCTGGCAGCAGTTAATAAGAAAAATAGGAAGGCGAGCCAACTAAAACATCCGATTACAAGTTATGTTGCACCTAATTCCACAGCTCTGGCTGAAAGCAATTGACAAGTGAACTGGCATACTAATTTCAAGAACAGCCAGCTCTCCAATGAAAGCACTTAAATGGCTTTAAATGAGAAGTATCTAAAGAACTGTATCCAGTGAACATAATTTGAAACACCACCTACTGAAATTCAGTCCCATTTCCCCTTCCAACAATAATGCTTGTTTGACCAGTCCTCAGGACCTCTTGCCAGATTAAGTGACAGCACTAAATTTCAAGTGTATACTTGGACTAGTGGAATCCTACCTGAGACTACCTATAATCTTCAGGAAGCTGTGTGTGTGTGAAATGCAGATCTCAGGAGTACTATATCCAGCCCTCTGTTGCAGGTCAAGGTATTGATTAGAAATTCCTCCCTGCTTCACAAAGGAATGGTGGGAGAATCACTTCTACTATGAGCAACGGGAGAACTATGGGCAACAGCTTTTTTCCTCCTAGGGATAGTAGTGGGAAACGCTGAATTTTCAACAAAATATGAAAAGACTGTAGCTTCCTCTGCTCTTTTGGTACAGTCCCAAGGAAAAAGTTCCCCTTAATAACTGATGAGTTTCCAAGTGATAGGTTAACCATTAGCATTTTACATCAGCTTGGTGATTGCTACAGAGACCAAAGAACTCCTTTGCTGTACTTTGGCTTCAAATACATTTTTAAATGCTGTTCGAAACATTCTGCATTACAACAGATTCAAAATCTGGTTTGAAATCAACCAAAATGGCACACAACCCTAAGCACAAGTTTTAGTTCACAATACTGGAACATTTCTCTCCTGTTACAGGTACTACCTAACTGAAGGTAGTGACCTTTTTCTAGTCAATCAACACTGCTTGTGCCTCAGAATTTTAGTCCTGATATGACAGAAAAAAAGAAAAACTTCCTAAGTGTAGTTACTGTTAGAACCAATGAGTTCAGAAAAACAAAGCACAGAGAGGAACAGATTTGTTCCTTCTGCTGTGATTCCAATCTAAATGGCGGTCATAGCAAGATTTAGACCAGAGTGTGCTTCCCTGTCCTCCCTTAACCCAAAGATGAAATGTCAGGTTAACTGCAATGCAGCTTTGAGTTTATTTAGATGTTTGAGCTCTCGCACTAGATTTTACAAGCTGGTGAACACTGGCAAATTATTTCTCCCACAGTACTATAACCACACATTCCCAAGACAGTATAAATATGGTTGAACATTAATACACACCACCATTTTTATCAATTACATAACAAATTATCAAGTATCCAAATATTAAGTTACGCAGCTCAAAAGGCATACAAAATATTACAGAGATCTGCCACATTAATGGCAGAAACTCAAGGAAAGAACCCAATCACTTTCAACAAAGCAATAGTTGGTAAACAACTTCCAATAAGTACAATAAAAGAAATTACAAGATCTTCAGAAATTTTATGATTAAGAATTTTCAGCTACAATAAAGCATTTCTACATTAAAAAAATATTTACTAAAGTAAAGGGCATATTCTATACTTCCTGCACAAGACAAAAGGCAACATTTTACTAGAAATATTTATTAGTCCCCCTCCCATTCTTTTACAGGCAATCTGCTAAAGTTGCACATTAAGTGCCAATATTTATTTAACTGTAAGGCTTTTTGTCTGGAGACATCAAAGACTTGTGTGCTTCTGTACAGCGTGAAGGATTATTTTTTTATAAGGAACTGGAGAATGTATGTATATGAAGAGGGTTAAGTAACAAAAGTTTAGACACCAAAAGTGACCAAGTCAGTAAACTGTGTGCAAATCCTGATGCTCATTCTAGTGCGATTGTGGGAGACAAACATGGTGCATAGGGGGATAGTTCTATGTAGCCCTATCCATGGGGGAGGGAAAAGACAGTTTGGAAGAGGGCAAAGATCTGGATAGCTGTAGTTACTGGGAAACTACACTGTGGTATACAGAAATAATGTGCTGGGCTTTTGGCACCTAATCTCTACTCAAGTTGTGGTAGATCTATTGGGACTTGAATGAAAAATACTGAACTACATGATTAAGGATACTTTAATTATACAAATTACAAATAAGACATAAAAGGCCATGTACATTTCTTATTCTCTAAAAAAGGATCAACTAACCAAAGATGCTCTCCTGTCAATGCTCTGGCCTACTCCTATAGAAGCTTCATGTAACCTAGTTAGACATACATGTAGTTTTCCATGTAACATGCCCAATTCTAGTTTTAGTCTTCTACTTCCAAAGCAGCAATATAGGCAGCTTGGTTTTTTTTTTTTTTACTGAATACAACAGTTGTTACGATGACCATTTGAATCTTTAAAACGCAGTCGCATCTTGGGACGATATTTCTCCAAATAAAGAAGCTGCTTGCTGTTAAAGGCTCCACGTCGCTTCCTAAACAGAATTCAAGTGCAAGATAGATTAATGAGACACTCACATTTTGAAAAGCTCAAGTAACAGCTTCATTCTTAGGCACTTTCTGTCCAAGAGAGTTGGGCTCAGTTGTACACCAAGATTTAGATTTATCAAGTACTAATGATGCTGGGTTATATAGCTGACACTTTGCAGCATTTTAGTAGTAGTTCCTTCAAGAACAGAATAAATTCATTTTCTCCCATAGGTATACCTCATGCCCTTCTACTTTGCAGTTTCCCGAAAAGGGTGTGTGTTGAAGACATAGAGTAAAAATGACAAATGTGCCATCACAGTATCAACAGAGTTTGCTTTGCTTTTTAAAACAAGTATGCTGAGTGAAACAATGGCTAAAATTAGGCAGTCTTTCTGAATGAGCAGCACTGGGCAGGGGAGGTAGAAGTGCCAGGTGTCTACATCTGAACCTGCTTCATATGCAGACCACAGGTTTTCAGTCCCCTACCCTGCTTCACATGCACAGCCTACAGTTCTTCTCCCACTGCAGCTGCAGATATTTGCACTTCTCCCTTTGTGTTTTCTTGCACGATCTACCATTAACTCACTGTGACCTCCCACTGCTTGATAAGCTGTAACAGAATTCATAAGGCTGTGGGGGATGAGGGGCTGTAGAAATATGAAAAGGAGGCTGACAGCTGAACCTTGTACTGCACATGCAACTAGGTCTATGCTAAGTAAAATATCCAAGCTAGGAAGTTTTTTCAACAGCTTCTCCACATCAGCGTTAGGGAACTTATAGCTCTCCAGGTATTTTGGAATGAAATACCCATAAGCCCAAAGGTTCTCAGGGATAAGAATTCCTGCCCCTCGTTCAGTTCCCCAGGTAGAGCCGCTTAACACTTACTGTCTTATGAACTGCACTGCATCTTCATACTTCATTCCACATTCTATGAGTGCAAGGGCAACTAATACAGGTGCTCTGAAAAATGAGAATGCCAAATTATACAGAATAAAGTCTTCTTTGCTTACATCTGTTTCCCCACTTTGTGGAGCCAAAAAAGTTATTTCATAGCAGGCAAGAATACACTACCATTTCACCCTACCATAAATCAAATCATTCTTACTGCATGTTTTTATTAAATATTATGAACTAAAACTGGAAGAACATAAAACACTACTGTTCACCAGTTTAAAACAGTATTATCTCCTTTCCGAGACTACTGGCCAAAGTCTAACCATAGAACTTCCTTTTGAGGAATGGCCCTCAGAGGACTAATTCACAAGTTAAATCATAGGAGAGAAATGGAATGATACTACTCCACAAACCAAAGAGGTTCATAGTGTCCTCTACCTTGAAGGGATCATATACAGAGTGTTGACCTGAACACCAAGGAAAGGTTATGCATTAACTTTGTTTGTGCTTCAGTTTGTCTCAACTTATTTCCCCTCAAGTCAGAGTTGCAAATGGCACTGCAATGGGGCACAAGGGTAAGGAGAGGTTTTTGGCTCATTCTGTTCTACACTCCTATAAGTAATTGCATACAACACAGCTACATAATATACATACATATGTGCAACTCTGGATCAGCACTATAGGTAAAATGAAATGCTCTGAGGATGGAGCCTAATAAACCCGGAAGTTCTACTTACCTTCCAAGACCAGCAACACAGTGCACAGCAATGCAACAGCCAGGCTCTTCACGGAATTTAACTTTCAAGAGGTTTAGCCAATCATCAACAATCTGAACAGATGGTGGTGCTCCATCATCAAAGGGCCAATCCTGGAATTTATGTATGAAAATGACTTACAATTTTTTTCACAAGCCAGTTAGTTGCAATAATTGCTTTAATTTCCAGACTACTGTATTTTCAGATTCCATGTATTTGAGAATTATATTGTTTTGATGCTATTCAACCATGAAGCCAGATTAATTTAATACGTTTTGCTTAAAATCAATCTCAAACAACTGTGGGCAAGTACAGAATACATTTCTACTTCAGCCTTTAAGAAACAGACTATCAATCTATCTTCAGGATTTCTCAGGAACTGCTTCTCAGCAGATCAAATTATCTCAAGTATCTTCCCTCATTTTATTTACCCTAGTTTGTCATGAGTTGTATACCAAAGCCTGCGTATTTTTTTAAAGAAAGATTCTGTCTTCTTAACCTTCTAGAGGTTATTTTAAACTTTAATAACCCCTCTATGCTTTGGCGATTGGGATTAATACTAGCTGAACAGAAGCAGTACAAAATATCTCATGATGTCAGAATAAGTCACTCACCAAAACCTGAATGCCCTCTTTTTCTACCAGAGCAGTGTCATAAGTAGCTTCACATACTCTTACTACTGTAGTTACGCCATACTTCTTAAGTTCCTAAGGAGAAAAACAGATCTTGTATTTTAATCATACAGATTCACATTGGGTATATTTATGTGTACACTAGTGTGCTTTTGTAATCAAGTATTTCAAATGCCAAATTTATTGTACCTATAATTGCTACCTTTCACTTTAAGCAGCACCACTACAAACATACCAGAGGAGAAGCATGCCTATATTACCTTCTGCAAGCACAAGCACACTCCAGTTATAACTGGTGCTGCTTCCGTGTGGTCTTGACTGTATCCTTAACAATATTATGCTGCGGCAATATTTTAAAACCTAATGTGTATACATGCAAGACGAGTTATCATGAGCACCCAGCCAAAAATACAGTCTGAATCTTTTGAATATGCAGTTAATATTCAGAGAGGAAATCTGCCCTAAGAATATGGCTGGAGGGTGCTACAAAAATAAGAAATGGTTCAGATTTTTCAGTAATGGACTACTACAGAAATACTTTAGTAGCCAACTCAACACACTGTGGTGAACTCAGTAACACATTCTTGCTATTCTATCAAGCTCCACTTTATTATAAAAATACACATCCCAGTCAAGACCCCTTACCTCTATGAACTTGTTTAAGGTTGCATTGGTTGGATTGTGGGTGATGAGGAATCTCATATTCTTGTAAGTGATTTCCACAGGAGCTGGGCGGTTCATTCGGGCCATGTTAATTTAGTTAAAACGTACAAGACTGATACTATTTCTCTTAAAAACAAAAACAAAAAAACCTAGCAGGATCAATGGAGAAACTAAAGTCTACTTCACAAAAAGCCACTCAAAAGTTTCCAGTGCTGACAAGTATGAAGTTGGGAGCAATGGGAAATGAAATGAACCTCCTAAACAAGAAGCAGCAATTCTTCAATCCAGTAATACTGAGGCAAAAAGAAAGGCAGTGCACTGAGGTTACCCCATCCAGGTCTGGACTTCCTTTGTAAAATGCTCTGCCAATTTCAACTCAATACTTCTTATTCTGGTAACCGCTCTTAAGGGGGCTTCTTGGTGGAGTAGTAATCAATTTCTACAGTTCACTTGTCTGCATAGAGGCCGTGCTGTGCCTGGCAGTAGTCCCCACTGCCCTTCAGAAACTCCATAAATGTGTGACCAAGAACACCACAGAACTGCTGTGAAGAGAAAATAAGGCACTCTGGTCAGTAACTGGAGACACATTTCCAAACAGTCCTACATAAACAAGAGTCTGAAAGGAAGGGAAGAGCAGAGAAAGGCTACCAATATTTAAGAATATCCTTAATTTAACAGAAGCTATTTCAAACTAGAAAATAAGAGAACATACTAAAAATTAATGTATTTTTAATCAAGTTTGCAAGATTACCAGATGAGTGATCAAATTAAAAATGGTCCTCAGGCTATCACTCTTACTCTCTCAGCCTCCAAGCAGAGGTAAACCCCTGTGATCAGCTTTCAGAATAGGTAACATTTCATTCTAGAGGTAGTGCAGAAAAACTTTTCCTTTCAGTTTTATAGCTAAGAACAATGTTTGGGGCAAAATGGTCTACCAGACCTCCAGAATGCAACCTTATTATCACTTTGGTATTATACTTTAAGAAAGTTGGAGCCAATATATGCAGAGCTCTACTGTTTGTTCAGTGATGTAAAATATTGCATGGCTATCCAGTTAATTTCATGATGAAATGGAGACTTAGCTTTGGTCCCTCTACTTCCAGTTCAATAGTACACTCTCCAGAACACAGTGAAAGGGGTAGGGAGAGGAAAAATGGTTTTGGTGAGAGAAGGAGCAGGTGGATGGACATCCATGAGCTGTTACTGCTGAAACTTGGTAGACAAACTCCATTTTTCAAGTGAAAAAGCTGTGTTACAACTTATTATACACACACACACACACACACACACACACACATATACTGGGCCTGTTCACACATAATGCTAAGCAATACCACAAGGTCACCTTTCTTACTGTGTGCCCTGTATTCACACATTTGTGAAGTAACTCCTCATGGTTAGTTTCCACATGTTGCCATCTTCCCTCTAGATGGCAACACATATCCAGCCGTGGGGACTGATGGGATACCAATCCCAGCATGCACTTCTCCTGCCTGTTCCACCTGCCTCCCCCCCACTGGGCTGCATGCCCCCGCCCCGGCTTGTTCTCAGCCAGCTCCTTTTGGTGGTTTTCTTGCTGCTGTTCTACGTATGAAGCAACTGCCTACTCATTAGAGCAGCACTAAGGTTGCTCTAGAGGAGCTGTTGATCTGTGCCAACATGCAAGCACACCCAACTCTACTCCCTCCTTCCCTGCACATGGGCCCCCTCCTCACACCTCCATGCACAGGACTCACTCAGCTGCCAGAGGCTGTCTTCTCCTGCACCCAGGCACACCGTGGGGATCTGTGTGGGCACCTGTGCCAGGAATGAAGAGAACACATCCTGTGGGGAAGAGTTCCCTATGGAAGCATGTGTGGGCACCTGGCTGGGAAAGTTTTCTGGCTGGCCAGGAGGAATGGGTTTGTCGAGCAACTGTGGCAAGGGCTGGGGGACACTGGGGCGCGTTGAGAGTCCTTAGGGATCCCGGGAACAAAACAGGAGTGGCAGGGAGGGCAGGAGAGAGACTAGGAAAGGTGGGCTTCTCAGTGATTGCCCTGGTGGCTATGCCCATGCACAGCCAGCATGCTCCTCTTGCACAAAGTTGAAGAGTACTGGCTCCCTGAGGAGAACTCACATACCAACACTTTCAGAGCACCACTCCAGCAAAGTGCATTGACCACAGAGGAGTGCCAACTGGTCACTGCTACTGGAGTTGGTACCGCACGACGCTCTGCTGCTCCTGATACTCCAGAACTGCAGCTGGGCATTGAGAAGAAGGGAAACAGCAGCCAGAGTGCATCTGCCCTATCAGTTAGTTGTTAGGCAGAACAGGACAGTGAAAAATGGCGACTGGAGTATTTGCTGTTGCTGTGGCCTCTCTTGCTGCCAAAGTTGATGGCGGGAATGAAGAAACTATGGGAAAATGTTCTAACTGAATTCACACATAGCAAGCAATGCTGAAACATGGAACCATTGATTCTCCATGGGGATTCAAGGCAACCAAACGTGCCACTCTTCACCATGCTTCCTGGATTCATGCATAACAAGCCATTCCTGCCATGGCTTGTTGTTATGTGTGAACACAACCACTCATTCTTCATTCTAGGAACAAGTGCTAAGACGACTTATTTTATATTAATTGTTAATCTGGCTAGGGCGACTTATTTTATATTGTTAATTTGGTTTATATTTTTAATGTATTATATTTTAATTTACGTTGTGAGCCGCCCCAAGGCTTCGGCGAATGGGGCGGCATAGAAATGCTATAAATAAATAAATAAATAAATAAATAAATAAATAAATAAATAAATAAATAAATCTGAATGCTATAAATCAAAAGTGTAGTTGTGAAAATTATGAACGTTAAGAAAAGCTGAAATACTGTTTTGTTGAGTTTGGAATTAAAGAGGCTGAATCAAGAGTTCTCACACTGCAAAAATTAGCACTTAGCAGCAAGGGAGAAATCAAACTAATCTTGGGACCTTCCTCTTCAGTGGCAAATATAGACATTAAGCCCAATTTTTAACTTAAGCAAGGACAACATCTTGTCTGTAGCCGTTAAGGGGGAATAGCTATGCAAAAATTATCTTTGGACTTGGGGAAGTTATCCATAAAAAGTGCATGGTTATTATAATAATCCTGATACAATTGCTCCTGTTCAGGAGATTCACAGTCAATAGAAGCTGTACCTCTAAGAGGCCAAATCCCAAGCAGTCTCCAGGTTCAGGGTAGGGAAGGTAGTTTTATTGAAATTAAGCTATTTAGCAAGAGTATTAAACCTGTTCTCCAGCAATTAAATTAAGCAAAGGTTGAAATCTAAGAGTTCCAAGAAAACAAATGCATTTACCTACTGGAGCATGAATATGCTGACCCAAATGGGATGTCTGGGCAGGCCTGCAATTTAGCCACACACCGAGGAGAGAATTACTCATGAAGTATGCTCGGTGGTGGATCAACTGCTTCTGGGATTGAGAACTATTTGCAGAAGTGATACATACTTTAATGCACTATTTGACTATATGCAAGTTCAACTAACAGCTTGAAAACCAAAGTTTGAACACATGGACGAAACAACTAAAACCATTCAGCCGTTGTGCAAATTCAGAATAAAAAGTTAAGTGGGCAGGGAGTCTGTCAAGCTATACACAAAGCAGCTGAAGTATTAGATGGGGAACTAGGAATTATGTACCCAACACTCGGATACTTCAGAAATGCCAATGCCTTGCTGCTCACGTTATGAAAATCATGAACAAAACTTAATCCAGCTCTATTGTATAGATTCAAAGCAGGAATACAACCAACAGGATAGTGATTGAAATGGGAATCACAAGTAAGAATCAATTTGGAGCAGCAGACACAAAGGAGGAATGAACGTTTCAGATACACAGGGTTAGGAAGGTTCTAGGAGAAAAAACTGTTGTAACAAGGAAAAATTCAACAGCATAATACAAACAGCTATTTGGGCCACTCCACTTCATAATTAGTATTTTTTAGCGCATTCATGTAGCCTAGCAGTTTACACCCTCTTCATGCTAACTCTAGTATTTCCCTGTAATAGCTTGTTTACTTCATTTAAAGAAAAACAATTAAGAAGCTATAAACATTAAGAAGAATTTATCTGTCAAGGGTCAACATATTGTTATCACATAGTACATGCCATGCATTGTCTCTTGAAAGGTGGGAGACTAGGAAAACATGATCTGCTCAAGTTCATATTAGTGTGTTAAAATTCTACATTTAACACAATAGTTGCCATCAACTAGATTTTCTTCCAGAAGTAAGAAACACTTCCCTATTAAGGACCATGCCAACTTTGAGCAACACAAAAGGAAAGCAGGGCCACAGGGATTCTCACAGATAATATGAGCCAATACCAAATATTATCAATCTGCCCCAAAACAGCTGCACCAACAGATGCTCCTAAAGATAACCCCCTTTCAGGCCAAGAAAACTTGGTTGTCATGGTTATTGTAGAAAAGATACCAATTCTCAACAACATGCAATGAGTGGCTAAGAGCCAAATTTTCATTTTGATAACTTAAACTGTGTATCACAGAATAAGTTCTCAAATCTCTGCACTGTAATCTTAACTAGTAACACCATGCTGTTTAAGCCTCTCAAGCCTTTGGGTTTATTTATATTGCAGAACAAGAAATTTGCAGCTGACTTCTCTGCCAACTACACCATCCCCAAGCCATTCATAGCTGCAGACACTGTGCAGATATAGCACTTATGTAAAGTAAGGCTTTGTTTATGAATTATAAAAATGGCACCCATGAACCCCTATTATTCCCAAGAATTAATGAGTTTTGTGCATGTGCGATCCATGTTGATTGGTAAACTTTATCTAAAGCTAGTACAGTATGCTTTTGAGACTCATACTTGTTACTTAGGTATTACTTATTTTCCTAGATACATAGCATTTCTGATGCTCTGTGGAATCATGGTAGTTTCTCTAGTCTATTGAGAAATATTATGAAAACTGGCAACTGGTATTGTTTCTCCCACTCAAGAATTAACAGTAAAGCCGTAGCACTGAAAATAACTGCTAAATCGACTGTTTACACCACGGGTAGCCAACCTGCAGCCTTCCAGTTGTCTGGCTTTCAAGGTTAATGGGAGCTGAAGGCCTGCACACTGGGCTGCGGGATTACAAGTTGTCCAGCCTTGCTTATTAAACGAAAATTTTATTAGAACTGCTCCCTATTCAGGCTTTTTTGTTATTTACTATAATTTCTCATGGCAAGTGCTATCTTTAGAGGCATTCCCTTTTAAGTGTTAGTAAAAGAGGGGAAATGCCTCTTATGAAACTTCATTTTTACTTAACACTGTTTACATGTTTTAAAAAGTGTATCCTTTGTATAAGATGTCACCTTTTCAAAATGAATCTGAGGAGCTGTTGGCTAGTTCCCGCACCCCTTCTGTTTGCAGCTGACATGGGAATGTACGGAACACACCTTGAAAACTACTAGTTTGGCATAGGAACAAGCACTGAAGTGTTACTGAAATATGATTTATTTCACTGGAGTCTGCTTCAAGGCCTCCTGTAAATGCCATTGGCTCTGGGCTTTGGTGCAGGCTTTTAAAGGGAATCCTTCGACCATATTGCCAAAGTAAAAGTTCTAGGTAGGCAGGTCTTCTAGCCAACTAGAAACAGCCAGAATAATACCATAAACATTTCTTGAACATGGCTACTGTAAGGTGCTCTTGTAGCCTCATCACATCCTGCAGCAATTGCACAAAGCATACAAATACAAAAGGGACCTGTAGAGCATGTGATGGCTGAAAATTCCAATAACAGAAAGAAACCAAGATTAGATCTCTACTTTTGATAGCTGCAGAGAAGTGGCATGATGAATGCAAGTGGGGAAAATGGAACATAGAAGAATAAGTAATAGAAGTGATGAGAGAGTAGAAACAGAAAGAACTTTTGAAAAATGGAAGATCTGAATTGTGATTGGAAAGCAGACAAGATCAAGCAGACGGCATGATAATGATTTAATAATGGATGGGCTCTTTCCTTAAAATTTGTGGCTACATCAAAAGGCAGCATAGAATAAGGATTCTAGTTACAGCATGTTTAGGATGTAAACATTTAGTGAAACTGTTAAGGGTCTTCACAACCTGATTTTTTCAGACAAAATAGAATTTCAGGTTCAGCCTTCTCTGCTAAACAGACGTTACCACTGCCATTTGGCAACCAAAGACTTTTGCAACAGAAACCATGTGTTTGTAAAAAGATGTGATATACCTACACTTAACACAGGATGCACTAAATATACATTGCCAAAGATTTTTTAAAATAGTAAAAAGCGAAGAAACTTGTTTTGTAAATGTGAAGGCAAGCATTTATACTCTCTCAAACATCCCCCCTCCATACCTGGAGAGGCAAACTAGTGGTAAGACCTGTAAAAATTGGGCTGGGGGAGTCCTCTTTGAATTACAGCACATTCTGGATTGTGTCTTACAGTCAGAAGTGTGTTAAAGGCCTGGCACCAAAAAGATAAAATCCTATGACTCAGCCCAAAGACAACTGCTTTGTAAGCACAACCCCCATAAACCGTTTCACCTTTCACGCCACTTAATATGCTTCTCACATGTCACACAAGCACATCATATGCCTCTTAGCCCAAATCAAAATACAGAGTCTTCTGGGGAAACAAAGCAGCCATTTCCAAGCCAGACACAGACCAGGTTTCAGGCAGCCACTCTCTTCCCTTACCCCATCAGATGGGCTAGAGGTGGAAAAAGTCAAGCGGGTGGGCCGGGGTGTGCCAAGTGCTCCCCCCGCTTCGGCCAGAGAGCGCCCCTCGTCCCTCCCTCCGCCTCACACCTCCTTCCGGCGTGGGGATGCATCGAGAGTCACTATGTCGCGCATGGAAGCGGCGTGTCCGTCATCTGCATTCAGACAGCAGTCAGCCGGGAAGGCCACACCGACCCAACGCGCCAGATGTCCTCCATTTTCCCCCGCCCAACGCTCCCTCCCTCCTTGCACGGTGAGTCACACGCGGCAAGATCCTGAAGCGCCCTGCGACACGCTGTAGGCGAGCGGACAGACACCGGGACGGCGGCCCAGACAAGTCCCGACTTGTCTCACCAACAGGCAACGGAGAACTAAAGAGCACCCGCTTCCTTTGCCTCCCTCCCGTGTAAGTGCCGGGACAAAGTAGCCCTATCAATGAGCCGCCCATCTTCAACGGAGCGCCGGACCCTGTACTGGGATCGGTACTACCTCTGGGCAGTAAAGTAAAAGGGTGCAGGGACTAAGATCCATTTAGCTGCTGTTAGCCAGTCCGCGGCTGAATGCGGAGTTAGCTGGGGAATTAATATGAAGCACTCTGGCGGGGCAGCGATGGAGAGGCCCACAGAAACTCCCTCCCTTCGCCAGTTACTTCTTCCAACATCTTTTCATATAGAGCAGTGCAACCCGCTTGCAGTCACGATCAGAGCGACAAAGAACTTCTAATGTGCTCTCCTATCCCCACACTCCGTGTTAGCCTTGCACGTATGCCATGTCCACCGACTCGAAAGTATTCGAATCCACTTCAGCCGCGAAGAAGAGTAGCTGCCCCGAATTCAATCGCAAAGAAACCAAAACCTTTGTGGTGCTAAGCGTGGCATCCAATATGGGTTCTGCGCAACCTTAAATCTCATTTAAGACCCACTCACATCAATAGATCTACTTTACATAGGTAACCACCGTATATAATCCAAGCGCTGCTTTTCACTGACATTGTGCTTTTACTCAGCTGCATTGTGCTCTGCTCTTACCAGCCGCAGAAACAGCCCCAAGAACTCAACAGGATTCCAACACCAGCAGAGCACGTGTTTCAGTCTTATGTTGAGGTGAGATCCCCCCCCCGCCAACAAATGCAGCACTGGAGGGGAGGGGTGTTGGTTCGCCAGCGCAACCCCACACCCCCAGCCTTCCTAGTGGCATCAGCACTGGCGGTCGTTGTTGCTTTCCAGCTTTCTTTCTCCAGACAGGCGGCGGCTCCTCCCGTCCAGACACTCCCTGCCACCCCTTTCCAAAGCCCCCTTTCCTCCCTTGCCACGTCCCACATCTCGTGCTTCACCAAGGCCAAATGATAGCGATCGATAGTAACAGCAGCTACCGCTGTTACTGAAGTTTAAAACGGTAGGGCTGGGGAGACGCAGTGTGTGAAAGCAGCCGGAGTAAAATGAGCAGCGGGGTTTACAGAGAAGCGCTAACTACCCTGCACTGCCGCCTTCGCCGCCGTCAGTTCGGGTTCCTCATGCCCGCCCGCCCGATCAAAGTGCTAATACTGCGGCCCAGGGAACAAAGAGACAAACATGGGAGAGGAGAAGCAGAAACGGAGGGCGCGTTAAGGGGGATGCTAAGATTTTTTTTTGTTTGTTTAAAGGGGAGAAAGAAGGGGAGTTTAACGCCGCCACCCCCAACCCCCACCGCTCGTCCGTTACTCACAGGAATATGGTTACTCATTGAAGACTGTAGCCTGATCATACGGCCTGGGTACTGAGGGCGCCACCGCCGGGGGCAAGAGGAGCTGAGCCGGAGGAAACTGGAGGAGGAGGCTGCCGCGAAAGTGGCTTCGGAGCAGGGCGGCGGCAATAGACCATACAGGACGCGGAGGAGCCGGAAAGAATAGGAAGGAGCGGCGAGAAAGCGGAGGAGGAGCTCCCTCGGCTGGCGACGGCGCTGTTGCTAACGCGGCACTGACGGCGAAGAGGAAACGCGGCTGGGGAAGGAGGAGGCTCGCGCAAGGCAAGTCGGGGGGACGGGGCGGGCGGAGATGACTTAGGCCCCGCCTCTCGTTCTCCAGCGCAGTCATGCGACGGCCCCGCCCCTCCTGCCTGTTGCCTTCAAAGCTCTACGCTGCCTCGCGTCACAAGCGCCTTTCGCCGAATGGCACCAGCGGGCGGCCAATCAGAGGCCTCGGAGGGGTTTGCGCTGTCATGGCCAGCAGTGTGGCGGTGGGTGGGGATTGGAGAAGAGAAGCGAAGCGGGGAGAGGGCGGGGAAAAGGAGAGGCGGAGGCAGCCGGCGAGAACCGGTTAGAGTCCGCCAGCCAGCGGTGGCCGGCCAGGCGGGCGGGCGGGCGGAGGGGAGGGGCGACGTGAACCCCGCTCTGATTGGGCTGGGGCGCGCCGCCTCCTCGCTTGTTGCGCGGCCTGGCGTGAAAAGGTAGAGCCCGCTTTCTTGCCCAGGTAGAGGCTGGTGTGGCCGAGTGATTAAAATGCTGGCCTGGGACTTGAGCGTCCAGGTTCGAGTACCCCACTGGACCACGAAGCGCACTGACTCTGGGCCAGTCACGGACCCACTTCATAGGGTTGTTCTGAGGATTAGGAATGGTGAAGAAGAGGACTATGTATGCTTCATTGGGTTCCCTGGAAGAAGGACGAATGTAATAATAGCCATGCATGCTATTGGGGTTCTTTGTGATGTTGGTCTAATTGAAGTTCCATGTGTTCTGATGAGTCCACTCTTAAGTAGCACTAATTGATGTCAACCCGTCACTTGTGGAGTTGAAATAAAATGGAGTTATGTAAGCCATCTTAGGTTCCTCCTCCCTTTATATTTCCCAAAGGTGACATATAAATGCAATGTAATAATTAAGAGCTGTAGATTAGTATTATGCTTCTGTGCAGTAATTGGACAAAGATACCCTGATCAGCACAAGATTGATGTATTTTGACTCCAGAAGGACAGTAGCATTAGTCTGTTGCAGCAAACCCTCACACAGAAGGCATATTTAAGGTGCCTTAAAAAATTATACAGATTTATTGTGATGTAACTAGAAATCTTATCAGCCTCATAAAGGTTGAGGCATGCATCAAACAAAATGGTCTCTAATCTACAGAAGCTTCTGCTACAATAAATCTGTTAACCTTTCAAGAGCTACAAGACTATTTGAACTGGAATGGTGTCTATACTTACCTAGGAGTAAATCCTGTTGAAATTAAGGGAGCATGTTTCTGAGAAGACATGTATTGCAGTCTTGTTGTACAGAATCAGCAGAAGGCAGCTTCTAAACTGTGGCCCTCCAGCTGGTTTTGATCACAACTCCCGTAATTCCTGATTGTTAGGTATGTGGGCAGGGGTTGATGGGAGCTGAAATCTAACCAGGGCATCAGGTAGAGGAGGGCTGGTAGGCGACTTTGGATGAAATAGAACCTCAGTCCTATGTATCCTTCAGAGTATGTCCCACTGAATTCCATAGCACTTTTCACTAACTTGCACAGGGTCAGACTTAAAACTATTAAGTTTTAACTATTTTTAACCTTAAAACTATTTTTAACCTTAAAACTATTCACAACCTGGGGCTACTTTGTAACATTTTTGTTTCTTTCAGTAATATTATACTGCTAGAAAGTATTGTTTAATTTCTGACAGGTTTGCTGGGGTTCAGGCTACATACCACACTTTCTGCACCAAACCCCTCCTATGAATCCCAAATGTGGGTGAGCATATGCACAAAGTTTCTCTCTGTTAGTTCCCATCTTGGGAAACTGCGCATCAGAACATTAATACATTTTTGACCTACTTCCTCATGTTGCAAAATTGCTTTCTGGCATTAAAGCAGATACTAAACCTAACTGACCCTTGGTGAGCCCTGCTAGAAGGTACAATTAATACAAGTCAGTTTTCTCTACGCTATTTTGTGGAACTTCTCGATCTTGTAGTGACCCAACCAGCAGGTCAGTTAGCTCACACCCTGGATGCAGGGCAACTGCTGGACAGACAGGGCATGCCTTTTTCCGATGCAACAGCCATCCCTGTGCTGCCCGTCTCCAAGAGCTTGAAGAACAGCCACATATTCCATACAATGTGTTAAATGGTCAAAGATGCAAAGGAGAGGAAAATGCTTGTTTAACTGCCGCGGAACTAAGTGTCTCAATAGCATATGTTGCTAGAGGAATTGTGTGAATAAAATCAGAAGGTACAGTGAAAGGGCTTAAGTGTTCAGTCCAGAGGGAGAGAAAAGTTCTTTAAAGCAAAACAGAAGATGAGCTTGTGTGCTATAAGTAGTTAAGAGCAGTGTGTGAGGTACAGAAAAGTCTGAATTCCAAATACCTGCTAAGCCATGAACCTCACTGGGTAAGCTGGGGCCACTCACCAACTCTCAGCCTAACCTACACTGCAGGACTGTTGTAAGGAGGAAATGAGGGAGCCCTGTGTGCCTCCATGAGCTCCATGGAGGAAAAGTGGGACACAAATAAAATAATTGAGCTGTGGGAATTCTGAGGACACTGTGCAAAAGATGCTGCTAGACCCTAGTTAAGTTTTTCACATATTAAACAAGAAAAGACTTCCCATCCTACCCACTACCTACCCCCAAATTCAGTGCCAGGGACTTACTTTTTCAAGCACATCTTAGTGGATGTGTTCTACAGTGGCAGTCAAAAGTGGGTTTGGTTGCTTACCTGTAAGATATTCTCACAGAACATGAAATGAAGTTGTGGAATAATTTTTAAAAGAAGAGTTCTCCCCTCCCATAAACCATGCAGTATTTTGAAATGAGGAAAGTCCTTCAACTTCAGGAGATGCTGTGATGCTTTTAGGCTCATACCACACATTTCTGTATTTATTGCCCATGATTATTCAGTATTTGACTAATTCATACCCTGTAATGGCTTATTCACACATGTAGTTCACCTTTTGATACTGAGTCATCACAAGAAGAATATACATGTGTAAAGCAATTGTTTGTATGTTTTGAGGGTTCTGCATTAATTCTGACTTGGGCGACATTGCTGACTGTGTTACCTATGCTGACTGTAGCTTTACAATGTGATGTTGTTTTTAACAAAAGCTGCAGTGGGTGATGGAACTAGTCTTATAAAATGTTTAAAAGACCTTTGGTGGTAAATACCAGCTTTTAGATGTGGAGTATAAATTGGTATGCAAATCAACTCACCATAGTCTAGGATTATGATTCACTTGCAGCTTTTCCCCTTCCCAAATAAATCAGGAGGGGAAAACATACTGCAAAATACATTATAAACATACTGGGAAATGCAATACTTGATTTTTCATGTTGCACTTAATGTAACCCTTAATCTCCTCTGCAGTATGAAAATGATACTGTCCACTTTTTTGGGGTGTTGCAAGAACTTACATGTATTGTTTGGGGTTCTCTAAAACACAGTAGGGATACTAACTTCATTCCCATTCCCGTAAGACAATGTACAATGGGATATCAGGTGATAATATCAAAAGGTTGTATACTAATTTAGGTAAAGAGCTTCTTTATCTAAACTCCTCACCTGCTTGGTGTAGATTGGGTAAACTGATGATAAAGCAGGCAAGAATGATTTAATTAATTATGAGATTGTTTAAATTGTATCACTTTTTTCTTTTTTAAATAGGCAGAAGTGCTCAGAGGCAAAGCTAATCCCAACCAAAGCTAATGCCTGGGACTGTATTTTTTACTGTGTGATTGTTCTGAAAACAATGCATGGTTTAAAGTTGGTTAATTTGATTACCTTTTACTTAGCTTCTCCAAGAGTTGGCTCCAAGTTCAGATAACAAACCCTTTGGGTAAAAGGAGTCAAGGCACAGAGTAATATCAGTATCAAGTATTATTTAATTTTCCACTTCCATTTTAGCAAGGGAAGTTTTTTTTTTAAATCAAATTTTAGATAAGCTTTTTAGACTGTTGCAGCAAAAGCAGTAGACATTCCTGCAGCAACTTAAAGACTAACAAATTTGTTTTAGCTTAAGTACTGATGGACTCTATCCACTTCATCAAATGCATCAACCTTAAATTCTATAAACATGTTGGGTGGGAAAAGGAAAGATATAAACTGTGTTGTCAGAGGGAAATGAAATGCAAAAGAAAAAAAATTATTACCTAACAGTTGCCATTGTTATTGGCTCATAGTGTAGGCGTTATTGTATCAATGGGCAGAATAACATAGCTTGATAAAAACCTTACTCAAACCACATTCCCTTAATGAATTGTACTTCAGCAGCTCTGTATTTTGTTAAGATCCTTTGTTCAAAAATGGCCACCTTAAGGACCCTCAGTCAATGACTGGTGACCATTCTTGAACAGTATCATTATGATGGCATAATAATGTGATGTATCCCATACTGGCCAGCATAGTCCTCTTTCAGGGGTTAGCAACTTCAAGAGGTTCAGGTGCCGTCTTTGCTTCACACAGCCCCTGCAATCCCTCCAGCTGTGGGCCACACTCCAAAATTGTCATCAGCAGCCATTTCCTTTTGTAAAAAGAAAAATCCTGCATTACCAATTCATGGTGGGGGATTAGTGCAGTAGGACAAGCAGTCAACTCTGTATGCAGAAGAATACTGGACACATCCAGTGTCAGGAATGGAACTTGCTGAATCCTGTGGGCAAGCAGTTCGACCTCCCAGGACACTGTCAGTGATTTTCAGGCACGCAGGGAGCTATGTGTGATGTACACAGCACCACAACCAACCACCCAGTTGTAAAGACAGATGACATTGTAAAATGGCTAAAGTACAATTCAGCAGGAGATTCAACTATTTCCTGTGGCTTGAACAAGGACAAAGCTTTTCTGTCACACCACATATGATAGTTGGCTAACCACTGCAATCATGCTTGTGTTAATTATTCAACGTTTATCTTATATATTAAACCATGACTGGAGTTCTTGCATTTCTCTGCAACAAGGTTTACATACACCCTGCCCCTGTAGCATGCATATATCAATCTCCAGTTATGAAGAGGATAGTGCCAGAATAAATTAACTAGTCTTT